GGGGGAAATGATACATAATATTATAAATTAAAATATACAAATATGAGAATACATAGCCCCTAGCTGAATAGAACAGTCAATAGCTGAAAAAGTGGAAAGACAAGTTAGAAGACGGCCTAAAATCTTGACACTAGCAAAGTTAGTATAACAACACTCGCAAATATATTAAACCAACTACACAAACAACGAAAACTACTAAGAAAAGATCCCACCAGGATAATATCCGAGTGTCCGATCCCAACAGGATAATAAGTTGACACTCGGGCACACAGAGGCCAATTGCCCAAACCAAAAACACGGACCTAAACAACACAAACACAGACGACACAAAACAACCTAAAACAAAAACAAAAACCAACATTCAAAACCCTTCCCCAACAGACAAACGAGTCTAGCCAGCAGAGAACAATCGATCCAAGGAAGCTCCCAAGGCCTAGGCACCACTACTGAAACTGCCTATACAGAAGCCGAGCCCGAGCCCCGGACCAAATCTCGAAATGACCTGCCTCCAACCGAGAGAACGACGGCAACAGCTCCCCGCACCATCACAACCCTAACTCATCTAACACCACTAGCCGAGCTCGGGTGCTTCGGACCCCACCCATCCCCAACACCAGAGGACCGGGGGTGAGAAAAGAAGAAGATCGAGGGGCAAAACCACTCCAATCGAAGACCCGCCGGCGAGGGGAAGCCACCGGACTCAGATCGAGGGCGCACCACCACAATCGCGAACTCGCCGGCGACCAAGGGCAGAAAGTCCATCGTTAACGGTTGCAGCAACGGCGGGGATGCACGACTTCAGGGATGGGCCGGGCGGTCAAAGGCGACCACTGACCCGAGCTTCGCTGTCGCCGAAGAAGGCAAAGCGGCGCAATTCAGCGTTTGTTAAAAAAAATATGCTAAACTTTTAAAATTAATAAAAAAAAGTGTTTTAAAATTTAAATATAATTTTAAGAAAAATATAAATTATTATATATTTTAGAATGACACTTTTTATTATCCGACTTAGGTGTGTTATATTATAATATTTTTTCTAATTTATATCATATAACTACTTTAAACATAAATATATTTATTGATAACTAATTTTATATTTCTAATTAATATTAATAAATAATTTTACTGTTTTCATAAAGATATATATAATCTATTTATTTTATACATACAATATTGATGTCAAATCGAAGTTTATCAAAAGATGATTAATTTTGATATATTATATATGTTGAACCGATAAAATATACAAAATTATTAACTTTTAAAATACATTTACAATTTAATGATTATAACATGAAATTATATTATAATGCAATTAATACATGTACAATGACTATAAATAATTACAATAATTATAGATAATCCGGACCTAATTATTTTTAGATTAGAAGTAAATTAAAATTTATCCAAGCCAAAAAATGAAACATGGAATTTCGTCACATGGGATCCCGAAACATGGGAGCCTACCACTTAGGCTCAACATATTCAAGGAATCATATATAAGGGGGATTTAACAGTAGAGAAATTTTTTAGCATTATCGACTAATTTTCGAGCCATAATGAAGAAACCGCATAAAATAACATAATTCTTTGCCCCAATCATGAGATGTAAAACCTTCTCCACCCGTACTGCAAAACGCAAAATCTATATATATTGAAAAAGAGAGGTGAATACTATCATTTGTGGAAACTTTTAAAAAACTGGTCAATAAATGCATTGACTTCCCATTTGTGGAAACCATGTAAAAAATCCGAAAATGATTTTTCTTTCTCTTAATTTTCTTTTTAGTTTAAATCATTTTAAAAACCTCCCAATTGATGTTTCCAATTTTTATGCACCGGCAAAGATATTTTATTGTTAATATGGCACAATAATTCCCTAATTTTAGGATAAAGAATATATTTAAATTGATTTCGTTAGACTGTTAATATGGAATAAATTGATATTGATACATCCAAAATTTTAGGAATAATCTGTTACAATTTCAATTTGCTAATATGTTGGCAAAATCTATGGAATAATATAATACCGGCATGTACATGGCCGTGCATCTCCACTGCTTCCCGTCCGAATTGACACGTGCCAAATTGATTTTAAAAAATTTGATATTTGAATGGATTACACAAATCAAATTCCTATCCAAAATATGTATATCATTTATGCCTTATCCAAATCATTAGATTTTGATTCTTTTATCAAATCAATTTAAAAATTGTGCAATCTTTCAAAATTGAGTTGTATATTTTTTACTGCTTCTTAAGTAAATTCAGAAATTTATGACTTCACTTCGCTTCGTTTGTTGGGTTCTTTCGGGATAACTTTTGTAGTTTTTTTATAAAATTGATATTTCTTTCAGATTTTTTTTTTCCTATTTCTTACCTAAATCAGGTTCGATCTTTTCAAAAATATTCCTCCCAAAAAATTGTGAATTCCTTTTCTCTATTTTTTTAACTAAACTTACCGGTATTTTGGTTTATTAAATGCAAATAAATTGATATTGCATAAATTTGGTTCTATAATAATTACAATAATTATAGATAATCCGGACCTAATTATTTTTAGATTAGAAGTAAATTAAAATTTATCCAAGCCAAAAAATGAAACATGGAATTTCGTCACATGGGATCCCGAAACATGGGAGCCTACCACTTAGGCTCAACATATTCAAGGAATCATATATAAGGGGGATTTAACAGTAGAGAAATTTTTTAGTATTATCGACTAATTTTCGAGCCATAATGAAGAAACCGCATAAAATAACATAATTCTTTGCCCCAATCATGAGATGTAAAACCTTCTCCACCCGTACTGCAAAACGCAAAATCTATATATATTGAAAAAGAGAGGTGAATACTATCATTTGTGGAAACTTTTAAAAAACTGGTCAATAAATGCATTGACTTCCCATTTGTGGAAACCATGTAAAAAATCCGAAAATGATTTTTCTTTCTCTTAATTTTCTTTTTAGTTTAAATCATTTTAAAAACCTCCCAATTGATGTTTCCAATTTTTATGCACCGGCAAAGATATTTTATTGTTAATATGGCACAATAATTCCCTAATTTTAGGATAAAGAATATATTTAAATTGATTTCGTTAGACTGTTAATATGGAATAAATTGATATTGATACATCCAATATTTTAGGAATAATCTGTTACAATTTCAATTTGCTAATATGTTGGCAAAATCTATGGAATAATATAATACCGGCATGTACATGGCCGTGCATCTCCACTGCTTCCCGTCCGAATTGACACGTGCCAAATTGATTTTAAAAAATTTGATATTTGAATGGATTACACAAATCAAATTCCTATCCAAAATATGTATATCATTTATGCCTTATCCAAATCATTAGATTTTGATTCTTTTATCAAATCAATTTAAAAATTGTGCAATCTTTCAAAATTGAGTTGTATATTTTTTACTGCTTCTTAAGTAAATTCAGAAATTTATGACTTCACTTCGCTTCGTTTGTTGGGTTCTTTCGGGATAACTTTTGTAGTTTTTTTATAAAATTGATATTTCTTTCAGATATTTTTTTTCCTATTTCTTACCTAAATCAGGTTCGATCTTTTCAAAAATATTCCTCCCAAAAAATTGTGAATTCTTTTTCTCTATTTTTTTAACTAAACTTACCGGTATTTTGGTTTATTAAATGCAAATAAATTGATATTGCATAAATTTGGTTCTATTTTTTTTTTTTAAGAAAAAAACAGGTGTATTGGTAGTAACAATTTTTTATAATCTTTTGTGAATTAATTTCAAGTTAGTAAACCACTATTTTTGTTAAAAAAAAAAGCCATGCATCTATATTAAAACTGATATTTTGTTAACAAATATAAGAATATTGGACGGGATTTTAGTCACTCTCTATCAATGGATAATGGTGATACGCTTCCAATAAAACTTTTGCAAATCAATCTTGATAAATTTTCAATATATACAATTTTAAGTTATCGGGATTTGTGATTTTTTCATTATCGCTAAAAATCGAGTTAATTTTCTGATGTACTTCCCATCTATTACTATATAATAGAGAGAGTGATTAACTTGAAATAGTATTAAAATTGCTGCTTAAAATTTTCAAAGTTACTATTCTTAGTAATTTATTTTGAAAAATGATGGCTGAATGAAAATTCAATTCAAATAAAAAAAATATTTAAGAAAGATATTGTGTAAATCTTAATTCATAGAAATATGAGCAATGGTTTTCTTAAATGTTATGGGTAAATCTGGCAAATAAGGAGAAATAATCTTGAAAATCTTGCTTTAAAAAAATAACGGCTGAATGAAAATTCAAATTCAAATTTTAAAAAAAAAAATTATTTGAGAAATATATTGTATAAACTTTAAATTATAAAAATATGAGCAATGGTTTTCTTAAATGATATGGGTAAATCTGGCCAATAATGAGAAATAATATTGAAAATCTTGCTTCCAAAAAATTCAATAAATTATTTCCTTAAATTTCTCCGGTTAAAGTGTAAATTTGGTTAAAAAAATCTGGTCAATCATTTAACAAATAAAAAATTTGAATTTTTTTGAAATATTTCTGAAAAATCATGCCAACTTAATTTATATATATATTTAAATGCACGACGATTCATATAACTAATTTTATCATATATCATGTGTTGGATGTTATTGATTGGGTTGGGGACACTCATTATATTCAAACCAATTTATTTTCTAAATGAGTCATAAACTATAAATTAATTAGTTATATATGTGTATTTCAAAAGAAAATTTTTAAAATTTTGTATAGTAAATTGATTTTTTTTTTTTTGTATAGACAAAATATAAATCTGCTATGCAAAATATATATCTATATATGTAAGTCTACTATATAAAAAATTTTCATACATATAATAGGGCAGTTGTCCAATTAAAAATTGTTCGGCTTAAAAAAATTAGCATGAAATATGTCTAATTACTAATGTTTTTATATTTTATATCTACTATATATAAATCTCTTTCACATGTAATGTCTAATATATCTACTATATAATAACTAATATTATTTTTGACTTTAATACATATTATTCACATGTAATATATTGTATATTTTAAACATGTTGCATATTTTAAACATGTGTGTGTTAAACATTTTTTAGACATGCTTTATTAACAAAATAATTTAGAAAAAATTTTATGTGACCTCATGTTTTTTAAGAATAATAAAGAATATTTTAGATAACCTTACATAAGCTATATAACATTTATGTGTTTTTAATATTGTAAGCATACATGTTTAATGTTCTTTTTTAAAAGTTAAAAAAAAAAGTATTAATGAATATTATTTTGGCTAACCAAGTATAATCGATACTAAAATGATAAACTAACAACTCATTTGTCCAATTACCAGGTAAATTATCATATTATAAATTTATTCATCTTAGTGTTCCATTTAAGTTCCAGCGACACCAGTTCCTTCTGATGTTAGGGTTCTATTTAGGAGTTAGGGTCAGTTTTTATCATCCATTGACATGTTCTTATAGAAATCAATTTTTAGTCACAGCCAATTATATGTTGTCGTTTCGCGTGTAAGTAATAGATAAAGAAGAGTCAGGGTCAGTCTTTATCGTGTGTTGACATGTTCTTAAAGAAATCAATTTTTAGTGATGGCCAATTATAAATTATATATTGTTGTTTAGCATGTATGTAATAGATAAAAAAGAGTTAGGGACAAACTTTTATCGTGTGTTGGCATGTTCTTAACGAAATATATTATTGGTCACGACCAATTATATCTTTTAATGAGAAATGGTTGAAAATATTCGTATTTAGGGATGACGAGTTGTCCAGTTATTAAAATAATAATGTTGTGTGCAATGATGTTTTTAATAATATATTATTTTTTCATGAGAAGTATTTTATTATTTGACAATTTTCCTACAAATTCTCATTATTTTGTTTATTAATACACTTCAATTTATAATATTCCCCAAAATAAATACAGCTCGTGCTTCGCACGGGTTACATACTAATTTGCAGTACGAGTTGCTCCAATAGGTTCCCAAAACCAATCGCAAAATACAATATTCTCTCTCTATCTCTCTGTCTCTGTCTCCTCGGTTGGACGCATATTTGCGTCCCAACCAGGGCCGTCTCCAGAAATTTGGAGTCCCCAGGAAATTTTTTCAAGAGTAACTACAGATAACTAACCTAGCAACAAAAGACAACTAATCTAGCAGCAAGAAAGAAATAACCTAACAACTTAAGACAACTAACCTAGCAGCATCAAACAACTAACCTAGCAGCAAGAAAGAAATAACCTAGCAACAAAAGATAACTAACCTAGCAGCAAGAAAGAAATAACCTAGCAACAAAAGACAACTAACCTAGCAGCATCAGACAACTAACCTAGCAGCAAGAAAAAAATAACCCAGCAACAAAAGACAACTAACCTAGCAGCAAGAAAAAAATAACCCAGCAACAAAAGACAACTAACCTAGCAACAAAACTCAACTAACCTAGCAGCTACAAATAACTAACCTAGCAACAACAAACAACTAACCTAGCAACAAGACACAACTAATCTAGCAAGAAAGAAATAACATAACAAAAGAAAAATGGTCAACGGCCAACGTCGGAAGTCAACGATGGAGTCAACGATCAACGACGGAAGTCAACGGTCAACGCCGGAAGTCAACGATTTTCGCCGGAAGTCAACACCGGAAGTCAACGGTCAACGCCGGAGTCAACGGTCAATGGTCATAACAATATTTAAATAATTAAAAATAAGGAATTAAATAATAAAAATAAAAAAGTTATTATTTAAATCAAGATCTAAATCGTGTGGCTAGGAATGAGTCTCACGTCCTCACTTTAAATAATGGGATGCATTGGAACCAATATATATATATATATATATATATTTTGTTTTTTAAAAATAAAACTATGTATATATGTATATATGGTAAATATTTATCATGAGATACATATTATTAACACTTTACTGTACAAATTTTATACAAAAGTGTTCTTCATAAAACTTCAAGAAAGAGTTCTTAAAATTCCCAAATAAAATTCATAAATATTCCTATACAAGAAAACCGAGTCTTTTCTACTAGCGAAGGAAAGTCGTCGGAACCGGGCTTCATAGGGTGGATACGTTTAGAGGGAAGACACTTGGATTCCTCTAGCGAGTAACCTCAAGTCGTTGAAGTTACAACCGGGAACCGATTCCCTCATCCATCATCAATAGTGAAGGAGTTCAAGAAATTCGGTAAATATTTTTACTAGTATTTACTTTATAGTAACAAATCAAAATTTGTATATGATGCATGTTTTAAAGATGACAATCAGTTAATTCGCAATTAGTATGTACGGGTGTTGTATTTATACGATAAATACTTACTTTAAAAATTTTAAATTCCGCTGCGTACAGCCCGTACTGTACTATCGAACCCAACAAAATTTA